CCCCAAAACCCCAAAACCCCAAAACCCCAAAAGATTATACTAGAATATGTTGAGGGGATTTTTCAATAATATTTAGAATTATTATAATATATTTGCATCTAATTAAGCCAATGTCTAGATTAAAGTCCGTAAACGATCTAAATAGGGGCTAGATTGAAATAACCAAAATACCAATATTTAAACATTAAACTAAACAGCATATTCAAGCATCTTAATAACAGCCTTTTTGATCAACTAGAATCTTAAGATACTCTTCAAATGAATGGGAATCAAACAAGTCCTATGTTGAAGATCTTCTTCGATATAACCAGCTCTATCATCACGATTACAACCCAGTTTTGGATTCCAAAACCACCAGGAAAATTTTTAAAAGTATAATGAAGGTCAGCGTTCCTAAAGTAAAGAACAGCTTTGATAAAAGATTTATGGTAAAAGCACCTCAATCTTCACTGTTTTTGCAAATAAATAAATCCTTGAATAAAAGTAGAATGTCACCAGATAAAATAGACTACCATAAATAGGGCAAAGCTGACATTGTGAAGTCAGATGATATCAATGAGAGTGAGGTCTCTAAGAAGATTCAAAGTTAACTAGATAAGATAGGTATGGCTAGTCCTATAAAGATATATGAAAAGTTTATCAACGATTTTTAAACAGATGCTCATGCTAAGGATGAAAACGACGTTTAAAAAAGAGTAGAAATGAAACTCAGGATGAAGAGTAATCTTTTATTATACGAGAGAAAACTCTATCCCAAGAACAAAATGTTTCTAGCTGATTCTAGTTATTAAGAGAGAAATGCCATGACTAGCCATTCAAAGTATGAAAAATCAGAGTCAATCAGAGAAATAGAAAAGCAGTATACTTTATAGTAACAATAAATTAAGGATAAAGGGGAAATGAGTTTATTGGCTTCTCCAGATAATGATAATAGCTTGGAATTCAGACAAACTACTACCAATCGTACGACTGATTATTTAAATACTGACAGCAGATCTGTATAATCTAAGAAGAGGTTTAGTAAAATCATGGATAGTGGGAGAGTCTCGTTTGCTTTCGTGAATAAGTCTCATAATTTTTATCAAGATCAATCAAGTCAAGAAAAGGATACTGATTTTACTAGCAGAGTACAGACTTAGTAAAACTATTTAAAGAGAAAGAATATTATCGGTGGTTTTAAAAACTCAGCAACCGAAGATGCATTGTTGTCGACTTAAGGAGACGTAATTAGTATAGTTGAGGAGAGAGGCCAGCACATAGTAGAATACCAAAATGATATAGAGGACTATAATGAAACAAATGATGAAAATGAAAGGGAAACAAGGCAGATTCATTTCATGGAGAAAAACAGGCTTAAGCAAAAAATTCTTAATGATTTAAAAAATGAGAATAAAAGAGATTCATTTCTGATGACTGATGATTAAGTCTAGGAAAGTTAGAGTAAGTATTCAAGTTTCAGAAATCAAAGACTAAATAAAAGTCAAGAGGGCTTTAGAATAAGCCACTTTAGAAATCTCATTAATGATAGAAGGAACAATGAATCTGTCTTATCAGGAGTCTCCACATCACACTAAGCTACTCGTAGAAGGAGAATAGACATTAGTGACAAAAAGCATCAGGAATCTATCTATGATAATTAGGGTAACAAAAGATCCTAAATAGCAATTAAGAATTTCAATCAAACAAAGTCAGTCATATCGAAAATACTGAATGAATGCGAAGTATCGGTCGATCTGAAAGAAGAAAAAGATAACACAGTAATTCTAGAACAGTAATTCATTTCTATTAATAATGACTTTTTATAGTCTAAGAAAGCTTGAGAAATCCAAGTTAAGTATGGTAAAGGCTTTAAAGAGTTATGACTAGGAAAAAGATGATGAAAGGAAGTTTCATTTTCAAGAATTCACACAAAATATTGAAGAATAAAAGCTTAAAAAGTAATTGATTAATCATAATTGATATTTCAAATAGTCTCACTGACTTAATGGAGCTCAGGAGAATAGAAAAGAATTGTAATAGAGATAACTTCTTTTCTGAAACAGTACTAAAGCAATTTAAAGATGACAATACCAAGATGGCTTCATTTATTAAGCAATGTGCTGGGTTTACCAAGTAAAAAATTTGGAAACCAGACAAACTCATTATTTCTAAAAAGTCGTAGATCGACCAATCTGGTTTTAAATGAAATTATTATTAGTATAAAAATATATTCTTAATTCATTAATTTCATAATAACTTTGAAATTAATGTCCATGGGGTTTTGGGGTTTTGGGGTTTTGGGG